GGATATATAAATTATGCAAAAATAGAAAAGAGTGAACTTTGAGGTCATGCTGTGCGACTTTGAAAGCCGTTAGAGAGATGAGTGGACGCATTTGAACTAGTAGTATACCAAGGTATCCAGTGATGTAATTTTACCCACAAACGGACTTGAAGTTTTTGAGCTAATTTTTTTTAAACCACTTGTGTCCAAAAAAGCATATTTTTGACCCAAAATCAAAAACGCATTCTGGATATTTAAAATAAAGACAAGTTTTACAAAGTTTGTATAATGAGCTTTCAGAAAATATATAACATGCTGGATATATAATACCATCTTCATTGTCTAATTACTCAATTAAAAAGCAAGCCAAATAAACTGCATCTCTACCTTAATTGGATAACAAAAATAATCAAGATCGACACACATACAGATAAATTCAGAGTGGATTTGAGTTAGTGTGATCCATGGCGTGATTGTCATAATTATAACATATTATAACTTCATTTGGTGGAAACACATTGACCAAGCCCGGATTCTTATTTCAGAAATTATTACGCAGATCAAGCTGCAAGCATGGAGGTAAAAAAAGAACAGAGGTATGAATTCGACATACAACACCAATCACCAAACAATTCAGAAACTTTTAGCCTTCGAAAATGAAAACAATTAGCCGTGTGTAAGGGCTGTGTAATTCCCTGTTTGTCTGGCGCTTCGTTTTCGTGTCACTGTCAAAATTATTGCTACCTTTTACTTAACAGGGACCAAATGGTCTCTATAAAACGTTAATCAGGATCGCAAAAAAGTCAACTCATTTGAAACACTTGCCGGATGTCTCTCTCTCTTCTGAAATCCGCCTCGGTGATCATGGTCCGGAATCTATTTCTTTCAAAAGTGTTGCGCCAGGTTTATGTTGTCGGCGTTTCTCATTAAACATAGTTGTTGACTCCCATGTGCGAAGCACAAAATGGGAGTCTTTGCAGTTAGTGTGTCTGTATGTGTGTATGTGTGTATGTGTGTATGTGTGTGTGTATGTGTGTATGTGTGTCCGACTGTTCCACTGCTATCTCAAGAACCATACATCGGTTTTTGATGAAACTTGGTGCATAGATGCTCTGGGCCAATGCGCAGATTTGATTAGGTTTTGGTAAAAATCCATGCTCGTTAATTACCTAATTTGCATGATAATTAGCTAATTTTTAGCTGTTCTATGACTGTTCCACTGATATCTAAAGAACCACTCATTGGATTTTGATGAAACTTGGTACATAGATGCTCTGAACTAA